TGTGTGTGTGTGTTGTGTGTGTGTGGTGTGTGTGTGTGTGTGTGTTGTGTGTGTGTGTGTGTGTGTGTGTGTGTGTGTTGTATGTGTGTTTTACTAATTGTCAAAGGCACTTGTCGAAAGACACTTGACCTATAATGTGTGAGTGTGCGCTCTCACCTATTTGTGGTTGCAGGAGTGGATTCGTAGCTCCTGGCCCCTCCTCTTCGCTAGTCGCTACTAAGTCCACTCTCTCCCTGATCAATGAGCTTCATTGTATCTCTTCTTTAAGCTGTGTAGGTATCCTGCCTCCACTACATCACTCTCCAGAGTGTTCCACTTCCTGACAACTCTATGACTCAAGGAATATTTCCTAACATCCCTTTGACTGATCTGAGTTTTCAACTTCCAGTTATGACCCCTTGTTGCTGTGTCCCGTCTCTGAAACATTCTGTCCCTATCCAATTCCTCTCAGTATTTTATATGTCGTTATCATGTCCTCCCTATCCCAGTGTCGTCAGGTTGATTTCCTTTAACTTCTCTTCGTCGGACATACCCCTTTGCTCCGGGACTAGTCTTTTTGCAAACCATTGCACTTTCTCTAATTTTTTGACGTGTTTGACCAGGTGTGGGTTCTCTACCGGTGCTGCATACTCCAGCATGGGCCTGATGTACACGGTGTACAGAGTCTTGAACGATTCCTTACTAAGGTGTCGAAACGCTATTCTTAGGTTTGCCAAGCGCCCATATGCTGCAGCAGTTATTTGGTTGTATAAATGTTGGTAGAATTACCAACAATATGTTACGGTTTGACAAAGGTCCTCGAGAGCGAAACGTTGCCACAATAAAATGTCACATTAGTTGCAATTGTGTCCTTTTACCTAATAGTTTATATGTTTAGTTTTGTCTGTAAGGTGTGCTCGATATTTTACTCACCCAAAGATATTTTTTCTTGTGTGAGGTTTGCAGTCTTGGCCCCCCCTAGCCTGTACTCTGTCTGCGGTCTTCTCTGACCTTCCCCAGTCTTCATTACTTTGTACTTGGTAGGATTAAACCCCAAGAGCCAATTGTTGGACCAGGCTTGCAGCCTGTCCAGATCCCTTTTTAGTCTTACCTGATCCTCATTTACTTGAGTTCTCCGTATCACCTTCACATCGTCTGCAAACAGGGACACCTCTGAATCTATCCCTTCCGTCCTGTCATTCACATAATCCAAAAACAGCACCGGCCCTAGGACTGACCCTTGTGGAACCTCGTTAATCACAGGCGCCCACTCTGACACTACGTCACTTACCATCATTCGTTGTTTCTGACAGGTATTCTCTGATCCATTGCACTGCCTTTCCTGTTATTCCTGCTTGCTCCCATAGCTTTTGCACTAATCTCTTGTGTGGAACTGTGTCGAAAGCCTTCTTACAGTCCAAGAAAATGCAATTTTTGTGTATGTGTGTATTAACCTAATTGCACCTAATTGTGGTTGCAAGGGTAGAGTCAGAGATCCTGGCCCCGCCTCTTCACTGGTAGTGTACTCACTCACCAAGTTGTGGTTACAGGGGTCGTGTATTTGTGTGTGTTCGTACTCACCAATATGTATGTATGGTTGTCCCAACACCACTGTTACCTTACTATCGTTAGGGTTGAATTTCTTCGGCCCATACACCAATCATGTTGTCTGTCCAAAGAGAGAGAGAGAGAGAGAGAGAGAGAGAGAATTTCCTATTTCCTCGTTGCATTCCATTTCGTGCACCAGAGTGAGAGGTAGGACCGCTAAGTGACGTTCACCAATTTAATGTTCGACATGCTCTGTGGCACCAATATCGACGACCCTTACCTTCCTCTCCCTCCTACCTCCATTCCCCTACCCAACCTTCCCTTGTTTCCCTCCACTTCCCCTCCCCCTCCCCCTCCCCACAATCCCCTCCCTCCTTCACCTCTCACTCGCACTCCATTTTTCCCCAACTCTCTTCCTATACCGCCTCTCTCCCTTATCAGTACTAACAACCACCTATAAACTCCCAGTACCTCCCCCTTCCCATTCCCCTCCCCCCCCTCCCTACTAACCTTTCTTTACGACACCTCACTTGTAAATATATATATATATATATTTATATATATATATATATATATATATATATATATATATAATATATATATATATATATATTTATATATATATATATATATATATATATATATATATGATTTTATATATATTTATATTATCTATATATATATATATATATATATCTGAGAAATGGATAAAAAAGGCTTCAAGGAAGAATATTTGGATTTCTTTCTGAAGCCGTTTGAATATTCCACTTCCTCTACCACTCCATCTTTTCATTCTTATTTACCAATAGGTATATTTTATTACATAATATAGTACAAAAGATTTAAGAGATACATTGCTGGTATAAAGATGGCATATACAGTACATGAGATACATGTCTAGTACATATTGTTACGTGTTTGTCACTGATTATAATGCGAAAATCTCATCCAGCTCCTCAGAGCTGGGGCGCGTTCCCAAAATACAGCAGGCATTACCCCTTTGAACACACACACATATATATACAATGTATATATATATA